CCTGCTGTATTTTAAGCCTCACTAAGCAGAGGTGTGTTGTGCACGTGTGATTTCAGAGTGTGGCTCAGTAAAACAAAAGGCAGCAAAGGAGGAGGAGGAAAGGCCGTTTAGTTCAGTTGATATGAGCTTGATCAAAATAATTTACATGAAACCAGCTTCATGATATTTTTATTTATATTTTTGTGCCTGAGCTTTGTGACTTTGGAAGCTGAAATGTATTTTCTCGTGGACCGTTAAATAAGATAACTGTTAGATAAATAGGAAATCTCACGAGTAGAAACTCATGCAGCATGGAGAAAAGACGCATGTCTGATGGAAACTTGGTCCATGTGTCGCTGAACTTATTTAAAATGTTTCTGTGCTAAATGATCTGATAAAAATGAAGTTCTTTTCAGCATAACCGATCTTTTGTTTCTTGTAAAGGTTATTTTGGGCATTCTGAAGCCACAGCATGAAATTAACCAGAGCTGTGCTCAAATTGCAAACGATGGCGAGAAAAACAAAAAAAAAAATGGCTATAACAGCTATAGTAATACAAAATTTAATGTAAGAAAACCATAGAAAACTTACAAAATGCAGTCAGTGTTTGAGACGATGATTTTCTTTATTAAGGAATAAAAGTTATCCAAACCTACCTGGCCCTATGTGAAAAGGTAATTGTCCCTTTACACTAATAACTGGTTGGGCAACACTTGACAGCAAGACCTGCAATCAAGCGTTTGTGATAACTGGCAATGAGTCTTTCAAATCACTGTGCAGAAATTTGGTTCACTCTTCTTTGCAGAATTGGTTTAATTTAGACACTTTGGAGGATTTTCCAGCATGAATGGCCAAAGCATTTCAGTCTGAAAAGTCCAGACTTTGACTCGGCCACTCTAAAGCCTTCATTTTTTTTTTTTGAGTCATTCTGAGGTGGACTCGCTGCTGTGTTTCTGATCACTGTCCTGCTGCATAACCCAAGTGCTCTTGAGGTTCAGGCTATGAACTGATGGCCGGACATCCTCCTTCAGAGCAGAAGTCATGGTTCCATCAATTACAACAAGTCATCCTGAAGCAGCAAAGCAGCCCCATCACACTACCACCACCATGTTTGACTGTTGCTGTGATGATCTTTATATGAAATACTGTTACTTTTATGTCAGATGTAACGGGACTTAAACCTTCCAGAAAGTTCAGCTTTTGTCTCGTCAGTCCACAGAATATTTTCCCAAAAGTCTTGGGCATCATCAAGATGTTTTTGGCAAATGTGAGACGAGCCTTTGTGATCCTTTCAGTCAGCAGAGGTTTTCTCCTTGAACTCTCTCATGGATGCCATTTTTACCCAGTCTCTTTCTTATTGTAGGATCATGAACTCTGACCTTAACTGAGACAAGTGAGGCCTGCAGCTGTAAAAACCCTTAGAAGTGGCTTTGTAACCCTTTCCAGACTGATAGATGTCAATGACTTTGTTTCTCTCCTGTTCTTGAGTTTCTTTAGATCGTGGTGTGTTAGCTTTTCCCCCCCTAATAATGCTAACAACATCTACATACATAATACAAACAAACCTTTTTGTCACTTTTGGAATCCCCAAACAATTTATCACCATGTTCATTACCTTGTTCACTAATTCCTTTTTGGTTTGGTTAGCATGGTGCTGCAGTGATTTGCACTTCACCTTACAATAAGAAGTTTTGCACTCACGTCCACCGCCTGCCTGGGACCTTTTTGTATGGAGTTTGCATGTTATCTCTGGGTACTTTGCCTTCTTACAACAGTTCAAAGACATCCATGTTAGGTAATTATTGATTCTAAAGTATTGTTAGTGGAGACCTGTACAGGGTGTACTAGACCCTCCCAAAGACCCTGAACTGGGTAAAGGAAATGAATCGATAAACTAAATATGATTAAAGATAATATATAAAATTAATTAATTAAATCTGATTGAATATGAACAAAATTCCTCCTAAAGTTTGTCAGTGTATCTTCCTTTCGGAACATCCAGGAGCAAACGCTGCAGATGACTAGTTGATTCAAATCGAGGCTATTTTTAATGTGAAGCAACATTGCTAATGACTACACCACCGTGCATGTAGATCTACTGTGTACAAATGGCATCTACAATTTTTTCTCTTTAAATACAGAATACAACAGAAAAAAGAAAAACAACAAATGAAAAAATACATGGATGTCTGGAGTTGCTGGGAAGTCACCCAACCACCCGCTTGAAGGAGGAGGAGGAGGTAGAGGAGGAGGCGGGGCTGCTGGAACGGCCATTGGATTGTCTCAGCTTATCTTGGCTCGCATGAAGGAATCATCCCGAAAGCCTTTTAGGAAACGGACGCTGGCTTTGTGCAGAGCCAATTGATGCCGGCTCTCCAGATCGGCGTTTGTCCAAATGGAGTCGAGGCGGGCCATGAGTGTTCCTTTATCCTGGCTGTTGTGGGATGCTTTGGCTCTTGATTTCACACACACAGATGCCAATTGCACATTCACCTCAGGCCACAACAGCAACGAGCAGTTTATGCACATGCGTAGGTGTTCACACAAACACCCGTACAAGAGCTGCATGATTACACACACGGTAGCGCAATTATACACACGCGCGCTTGCAATAATTATGCGTGCGTGCACACACACACACACACGCACACACAAGACACTGGCATAATTACATGCGGCCACATACATACACCCACACCACTTCACAGAGGAACTGCTGATCAACTACATGACCTTCTCTCTAACAATGTTAATGTCACCACCTGGGGGAGGTTGGGGGGGG